TAGTCCTCTGACCTCCAGAATCTCTGCTCTCATCTGCTTCCTCTGCCCTGACTTCCCTTTATCTGGTTATTTTCTTTTCCCCCTCCCCATGGGCCCTGGCCCCACCCTATCTTAATAGGAATGGAAGGGGTCTGGACTGAGAGAGGAGAGAAAGGGAAAGGGAGGCAGCAGGCAGAGGAGCCAAAGAACGAGGAGGAGGGAGATACAGGAAAGAGAGGAGACAGAGAACTATTGGGGAGGATCCAGAGAAAGCAGGAAGGACTCAGAAGATACAGCCTCCACACACGCCACGAGGCCCTGGGCAGGGAAGAGAGGGCCTTGCACGGCCATGTTGGCCACCACAATGGGCTGGACTCTTCCAATCAGTCATCAATCTGATGAGGGTGTTGTCTCAATTGAAGCTTCTTCTTCCCATATGACACTTGTGTGTATTGAGTTGACAAAACAACAACAAAACCCCAGACCAACCAAACAAACAAACGCCCTCCTAGCAGATGTGTGTGAATTGATGACAATGCACTCAGATTCTCTTCTGTACTTGAATTAAAAGTTGAGTATCCTGTATACCACCAGGAACATTCTGGAAATGCGATGATGTTCTCTTTGGACATGCCATGGTGGCAGAAGTGACAATAGAACTACAATTGAAAGGGTGTTACGATGCTCACAGTCCATGGTCTGACTGTTCCAACAATGGCCATCTCACACCAGAGGGACCAAAGACCCAGTCACTGCTCACTCCTCCAGTCTCACCAGTCCCCATCTGGAGTCCTTGAGGGCTGCTGGTCTTTAACACTGGAATCACACTGGAATCACAGAGAAAGTTCTAACAGCAGGGAAAGAATGCCTCTGCCTTAGCAGAATGAATGCCCCTGCCAGGGAGAGCAAAAGCCTTGTCTCCTATGTCATTCCTGACCGAGAGGTGGCCCAGATTTAGGCTGGGTCTTCTCGCTTCAAATATCTGATGAAGAAAACCTCTCCGAGTTGAATTGTTAATTCCAGGTTTGTCATGCTTAAGAGACAGCCATGATGACCCATTATGTATTCTGAAGTGCAGAGACACCACCCTTTTTGGGCCACACAGGGTTCTCCCAGGGTGTCCCCTACCCTGGCCCCTTGTGTCTCTTTCTGGGACTTGATTTTTTTTTTTTTTTTGAGACAGGGTCTCTCTATGTAGTGGTGTCTGTCCTGTGTAGACCAGGCTGCCTCGAACTCACAGATTGCTCTACCTCTGTCTCAGGAACACTGGGATTATAGGTGCATGCTGCCACGCCTGGCTTTTGTTTTCTTTTAAGATTTATTTATTTATTTATGTATTTATGTATTTATTTATTTAATATGAGTACACTGTAGCTGTCTTCACACACACCAGAAGAGGGCTCAGGGTGCACAGTGCTGTGTGAGTTTGGCTCTAGAACATTTCTGCAAAGTCGATTGGCTCCGCAGCGGCAAAAGCCAACCAAGTCTCTAGAGTCTTTGAAGGAGCAGGCTGAGCTCTGGAACCTTCCCTTCATCTCCTACTTCCAGACTGGCCGTAGGGGAAGATTTGCTTTGTACCCGGATCCAGCCCTGTTCTCCGGCTGGACACCTCCCGGGGACAAAGCCTCAGGGACAGGAGAAGGCAGGGAAAAGGGCAGCAGGGATGGGGTGGGACTCCCCCAAGGCTGGGTCTACCCCTCACCCTACCCACTCGGACCAGAGCCAGGGAGGAGCTGATGGGACAGTGAGGGCCAGTGTGGAGTTCTTGGTTGTGCACTCTCCTACAGGGCCTTTGTGCTCCTGGGTTTGAGGGGCTCCCCTCTTCCTAATCATCCAGCTTTCTGGAGCCGAGGATTGACAGAGTGGATCCAAGACCCGGATGTCCCAGCTGACATTCTCCGTTTCTGGTTCCCCTCTTCTCCATCCATTGTCCCTCCCTACCTCTTCTCTGGCTTTATCTCCAAGCACCCATTCTGCTTTTCTGACACCCTGCATTGAAATTAGGGGGTTCCTGAGCCTGGTGGATAAAGTACCTCCCCCCAGCCTCCCACTCCCCACTTTGGCCTGTGTCCAGGGAGATGAAGGACTTCCAGACTCTAGTGTTGCCAGCTAGGAAATAGCTGTCGTTCATGTGGCCCTAGTCAAATTTTCACTCCGCAAGTTCAGAGATAGAGGCACTAACTACCCCTCTTTCTGTCTTCAGTAGTGCAAGCTTATGTCAAAGGTCAACTTCTGATTTTCCTGACTCCACCTCTGAGTGCTGGAGCTGACCCTTGACTCCAGAGACCCCCTCCTCCCTCGATTCCTCGTTGTCACATAAGTTCACCTTGAAGTTCAAGCTGACGCTGGGGCTTGGGCTTTGTCTCAGTCCCCAGCTTCTCGTTAACCAGGCATGATGGTGCACAGTCGTCAGTCCAGCACTGGGCAGGTGGAGGCAGGAGTTCAAGATAACCTTTAGCTACACAGTGAGCTCCAGGATAGCCTGGACTGCATGAGACCCTTCCCTAAAATGGGTGTGAAAGGAAAAGGGGTCAGGAGAGAGGAGAGGATGGCTGGGACTGGAGAAGACCAGGAGAGCAGCCAGGCCTGTAATTGTGTAACAAATGGTGTCTCCAGGGAGGGTTCCTGGAAAGGGAACAGGATTGCAACATCATGTTCAAAATGTAGCCCTCAGGATGTCCGGTCAAAAAGTTAACTAGCTAGGAAGCTAAGAATCAACAGTGGGGGGCACTCCAACAACATTGGAGGATGCTCACTAAATGTCACTCACCAAACAATGGCTGCCCTTCCTCAGGAACCACGTTAGGACAACTTTTGGGAAAAGTGACTTTATTTACAAAAACTCTTCAGAGGCTGGAGAGAGCTGGCTCAGCGAGGAAGGGAGTTCAGGTACCAGCACTCATGTGGCCGTAACTCCAGTTCCAGGGAACCCATTGTCCTCTTTTGTCACACTCACGTGGCTCAGACTCAAACATACACGGATAAAAGTAAAGCATGGTGTGGGCGAGATCTAGACAGAGCAGGCAGATCTCAGAGTTCAAAGCCAGCCTGATATAAGTAGAGAGTTCCCGAGGGCTGGGATGACTGGCGTGAGCAATCACGGCTAACTTCCTGTGTGATGAAATTCTGAAAATTGATTTTCAGAGAAATAAAAAGGTAGGCTAAAACGACCACTACAGTAGGGGATTAGAACCCGGGCCAACTCTTTGGAAGGCAGCTTTGTTAACCACTATACCACCAACACCTCAGTTTTCCTCTCTCAGATATTTTTAATAAGTCATCACAGGGTCGGGTTGGCCAACAGGAACCGGAGTAGGGGTGTCCATCCCGCAATCCTCTCCCAGACAGCTCCGGGCCACCCGCCTTGCCGTCGCCCTAAGACGCTCCTGAGCGCTGTCCCCCTAGAGCTTCATGAACGTTGGTTCTGCCCTGACATTACCCAATCACAAGCCTCTGCTTCTACAGCTTAACTTCCGGGTCAAAGGAGGCACAGCTGGCGATTCCCCCCGGTGTCCGCCGCCTTCGCTGTCCCCCCGCGCCCGCCACTTCCGGGCCCTCGTCTTGGGCATGGAGCGTCGCGTGTGAGGCGCCACTGGCCCCGGGGACGCCCTGCCTAGCTTGTCCTCCGCGCCGCGCTCCGGTGAGCAGCGTCTGACCCCGGTTCGCCGCCTCCCGCCCCGTCCGGCGCCGTCCGCCCGCTTCGGCGCCGCGCGCCCTGTCCTCGTCGTCCCCGCCGCCCTGGTCGCCGCGCTTCGCCCGTTCCGGGCCGCGCCCAAGAGCTGCTGCCGCACCGCTGCGGAGACACAGCCGCCAGCTTCATCGCAGAGCGCGGCTCAGCCCGGCGTCCGCGCAGCCTCCGCCAGCCTCCGCCAGCCTCGTCTCCGCCAAACCCTCCCTCCCGGCCTCATCCTCCCCAACCTGATCTCCTCAAGCCTCATCCTCTCCCATCTTGATCTTCTGAAGCCGGAACCCCGCAAGCCTGATCCTTTCCAAGCCCGATTCCCCTCCCTGCTTGATCCATCACACCTGATCCCCAAAACTTGATCCCCCCCCAACTTGTTCCCTCAAGGCCTGATAGTCCAGGTTGACCCTCTTCTCAGACCTGAAATCCCAAAGCTTCATACCCCAAAGCTTGATACCCGCAGCTTGAACCTCTCCAAATGACCCTACCAGCCTGACTTCTCCGAGACTGGTCACTCCCCAAGCCTGATCCTTTCACTCAGCCTCAGTTTCCATATTGTCGCATGCCAAGCTTGATACCCTCCCAGACTAAAATCATATCTTCTGTCTCATCCCTTTCTTTCCCGAATTAGCTTGCCCCCTCAGTCCCAAACCTCAACTTCCAGCATTAATTCCCTGCATCTTGAACCCCTACCCTTAGGGTCTAGCCTTAGGCCCATCTATCCCCTCCCCATCCACGCTTTTGCCCAGCCTTCGATTCCAGTGGCCTCCTACCCAGGCTCCCTCGGGAGCCCCCTGGGCAATCACCAACCTGCTTTCGAAGAGTTGGGACTGGTGCCCAGGAGGTGTGGACCACAGTCACCAGTTCCCTGCTGGGTCCCAGGGAGACCGCGCACTGAGGGACACGTCTCTTCCAAGTGCAAGCCAGGGCATGCTGGCAGCCCCGAGGGGCTGGGAGGCTCAGTTAGAGTCTAACCAGGTAGATAGGGTTAGGCACAGGCGGAGACTCCCGCCCGCATGGAAAGTGAGTGAGAAGAAGCCGCGAACACCACCGGCCCCTCCATCCTCACCGCCCCTTCATCCTCACTGGCTCCCCAGTCCTCACCAACCACTCCATCCTTGCCAGCCCCTCATCTTCGCCAACCCCTCCATCCTTGCCAGACCCCATTTCCACCAACCCCTCCATCCTTGCCAGCCCTTCCCATCTGCCCACCTTAACAGTGCCACGTTTGTTCTCCCAAGGTCCGTGCCCCTCGCCTGCAGCTGCCATGGAAGCTCCTTGGACCCTTTAGAAGGTCAGTTGTGCTGGGCTCCGGCAGCAAGGCAGGCTCTGAGGTGGGCTGGGGCTTGCTGTGGGATGCAGAGATTGACAGTGACCCTGGTCGCGTTTCCTGTTGCAGTGCTTGCAGTTTTCCACGTTCTTTCTCCAGAGGTCCAAAGGAAGAGTGGCCAGTAAGCCGGGTTTGAGGGAGGCTTGGCCAGCGCCCCTCACCTCATCTGACACAGTACCCAGTGTGTGGGCATCAATCTTTACGGGAGTTTTTGCCTCAGAAGGATCATTGGCTGTGATTTAAAATGACTCATTCATCTGACTGCTGTCATTATGGAAACCTGTGTGTGCATTCCCATCAGTCCTCACTTAGCCCCAGGCACAGATATTGTAGTCTGGGTTTATAGCTTTGGGAGACTGGGCCACAGAGAGGTTTGTGGCTTCTGTGGGATTACATAGCGTGGATGTGACTAAGCTGGGACATGGGATGCCCACTTTTCAGCACTGGACAGAGAACACTGGCCACTCTTCCATTTTATGTTCAGGTGGCATCAAGCATCTGTCAGACTCTTCTGACAACTGGGTGGTGACTGGGGACAGTAATCAGGAAGAGACAGTGGTTTGTGTCTTTAGACACTGATAGAATGCTGCCTGGAAAGGAGCTGTGCCCTTGGGGGCACTGGGATGAGTTGTTCTCTGTGAGGCGTCCTGGGCCCTGCAAGGCACCTGAACACTGTCCCAGTGGCCAAGTTCTAGTCAGGACAGCCATACATTTCCTCAAACATTTCCTGGGCTCCCCAGTCAACAGAGTCACCTGCCTTGAGACCATGGTGTTGTCCAGATAAACTTTCCTAGTTTTCCTCAGGCAGTTGTTCTGCAGGGTGAGCAGCTGATAGGAAATAGGGAGTGACACTGTAGGTTCTGTTCCTACAGTACCCTGGGCTGGAAGTGGGGAGTCTTGTTTTAGGGGAGAGGGAGCAACAGAGCCCCATACACATAAGATGTTGAGACAAACAGGAAAAAGTGTTTGGGTTTGGTTTGGGGTGAAGGTCTAAAGTATAGGTGGTGGGGGCCTTGGGTACTGAGGTACCCTGGAGACAGGAGAGTGCTCTGGGACTTCTTTTTTAATTTTTTTAATTTTTTAATTTTTTTAAATTTTTAAAAAAAAAATTAAAAAATTTTTTATTGGATGTTTTATTTACATTTCATTTGTTGTCCCCTTACCCCATCCCCCACCCACCCAGGAACCCCCAATCCCCTCACCCCTCCTCCTTCTCTGTGGATGTAACCTCTATCTACCCCCCCCTCCCACCTCCCCACCCTCAAAATTCCCACCCCCTGGGGCGTCCAGCCTTCATGAGGTCAAGGTTCTCTTCTTCCACCTATGCCCAGCAGGGCCCTCCACTCTTACATATTCAGCTAAAGCCCTGGATCCCTCCCTAAGTGCTCCCAGGCTGGTAATTTAGACCCTGGGAGCTGTGGTTGGTTGGTATTGTTGCTCTCCTCATGGTGCCACAAATCCTTTCAGCTCCTTCAGTCTTCACTCTAACTCCTCCATTGAGAACCTCACGATCAGTTCAATGGCTAGTTGTGAGCATCTGCCTCTGAATATGTCAGACTCTTGAAGGCCTCTGAGGAGACATCCATATCAGGCTCTTATCAGCATGCACTTCCTGACTTCCACATCAGCCTCTACCTTTGGTGACTGCACATGGGATGGATACTCAGGTGGAGTGGTCTTCAGACTGCCCCTCCTTCAGTTTCTGTCCCTCACTTTGTCTCCATATTTGCTCCCTTGAGTATTTTGTTGCTCCTTCTAAGAAGGACCGAAGCACCCACACTTGGTCTTCCTTCTTTATGAGCTTCATGTGGCCTGTGAGTTGCATCTTGGCCATTTCAAGGTTCTGGGCTAATATCCAATAATCAGTGAGTGAATACCATGTGTGTTCTTTTGTGATTGGCTTACTTCACTCAGGATGATAATTTCTAGTTCCATCCATTTACCTAGGAACCTCTCGAATTCATTGTTTTTATTTTTTTTATTTTTTATTTTTATTTTTTGGTTTTTCGAGACAGGGTTTCTCTGTGTAGCCCTGGCTGTCCTGGAACTCACTCTGTAGACCAGGCTAGCCTCGAACTCTCGAACTCAGAAATCCACCTGCCTCTGCCTCCCAAGTGCTGGGATTAAAGGCGTGCGCCACCACCGGCCAGCTCATTGTTTTTAATAGCTGAGTAATACTCCATTGCGTAAATATACCACATTTTTTGAATCCATTCCTCAGTTGAAGGACATCTGGGTTCTTTCCAGCTCCTGGCTATTATAAATAAGGCTGCTATGAACATAGTTGAGCATATGTCCTTGTTATATGTTCGAGCATCTTCTGGGTATAGCTCTGGGACTTCTAAGCCCCAGAAACACCCCACAAAAGATACAGGTTGTTGCTGCTTGGGACCCAGTGAGACTCTTGGCACAGGGTATCCCTGATCTCCAGTGCTCTTCTGGAGGTAGAGGCAAACTGCTAGCATTGCAGACCCACACTGATTCCCAGAGCCAGTCATTGGGTCAGTGTTAAAGGTCAAGTTGTGACTGGACAAGGAAGATGGAGGAGAAGGTAAGGGAGGCCCACATAGGGTATGGGTGGGGCCCTATTGGTCAGTCAGCTTAGAGACCCCCTGCATCTGCTCTTCTTCCTCTCTGCTGTTTCTTGAGGAGGCAGCAGGGATGGGCCCTGGACCAGGGTATTCTAGGTTGTGAGTCCTATCATGTTAGGGTGCTGCACAGTGTCTCCAGACCCCACTCTTCATCCATCTCTTCCTCCTTCACTTCCTCTTCCCATTTCCTTCTCCTCCGTCCCCTCCTCCATCCCCTCCTCCATCCGCTCCTCCATCTCCTCCATCTCCTCCATCCCCTCCTCCATCTCCTCCTCCATCCCCTCCTCCATCTCCTCCTCCATCCCCTCCTCCATCTCCTCCTCCATCCCCTCCTCCATCCCCTCCTCCATCTCCTCCTCCATCTCCCTCATCTCCTCCATCTTCTCCCCCATCTTCTCCTCCATCTTTTCATCACCTCCTCCTCTCTTCTTCCATTTCCTCTTCCATAATTTTCTCATTCTCCTTATTCTCTATTTTTCCTGTCTTCCTCCTCTATCTCCTCGTCTCCTCCCTCCTCAGTCTCCTCTCTTGCGAACAGTAGCTCCCACTTTAACTCATGCCAATCACAGGTGTCCCCAGACATCATGTGTGAGAATCCTCGCTCATGGAGTGGTTAACTGTGGGGTCCTAAAAGTGTGCTTTCCTCCCTGGGTGACAGGGAATAAGCCATCCAGCCTTCCTGCATTCACTTTCTAGTCTCCACCATGAGTATGACGTCAAAAGTGGCCCCAGGTCACAACACACATCAAGTATGTGCAGCAAAGACCTGGCCCATGCTTTGTGTGGCCCAACCAGGCATGCAGAGGCCCAAGAGTCCTCCACCCAGGGGCCCTCCTAGCCTCCACTTTCTAATCAGGTGGCAGGAGGAAGCAGGGAAGGGATGTCTAGGGCTGGTTCTTCTGAGATTCAAGGTCTGGGCATGGTGGTCATCTGTGGTCCTTGCACTCATATCCTCTGCGTCTTATGATGTACTTTGTGAGGCCTAGTCTTGATTCCCCAAGTGCTGGGTGTCAGCCAGGACAGCTCAGGTAGGAGACAGGTCCTCTGTCTCTGGCCTTCCTTTTCTCACCTTGTACCGTGGGGCATCTGTAAGTCACCCCCTTTCATGCTGCTGTGTCTTTTCACCTGAAGTCCCCAGTGTCACCAGCCTCGTTTCTTCTGTACCTCTACCTTCTCTCCTTCCATGGGCTCACTCTGGGGTGTAAGGCAGAAAGTTGGGAATGGAGGATCCATTTGCTTCCTACCCCTGGGGAACAAGACATCAGAAGTTCAGCAGCTTTGATCACGGCCCCAAGAGTTTTCAGCCTTATTCCCTGGTGGCTTTTCAGGCTGCAGAGATGATGTGCTGACAGGTAGACAGGAAGCATGGTAGGCGGCTGGGCTAAGTGTTTTGGCACCAACTTCATCCCCAGCTGTGTAAACCCTTGAGAACTGCCGGACAGGTTGGTGCGGGCGGAGGCCTTGCTGTCACCTGTTTAATCTCCAGCCCCTTTCTGGGTCCCCATTTTGCATCGGGATAGCAGAGAGGCAAGTGGCTCAGTCAGGCAATAGCTTCAGGCCCTGCTGGAGCTCATGCTGGAAGGTTCTAGAACATATCCAAAAGCTCCTGATGTCTCATTTCATGTCTAGTCTTCTGGGACAGATCTTTGCAGCCTGGGCCCTCGGCAGTGATTTAAGGCAAGAGGCTCTCCGAGACCCTCCTCTGTGCAGGCCTAACGGGACCCTGAAAGAGAGCCACGGGTCACAATTTGTTTCCTGCTGTGAGCAAGGCTTGAACTGGGAGGTATTGAGCCAGTCAATGGCATTCTCTTGGCTCAGATTTCTGGGCTTGCTCCTGGTAGCCCCTGCTTGTCACTGCCCTTGGCTTCTGACTACCCTGAGGATGAGTTGTAGCTCTGGGAATCCTGACACCCTCTAGGGTGTTTGATTCAGGAACCCTAGGGATATCTGTGGTTTCTGATCTGAATCCTTATGAGCAACTGACATGGTGGGGGGCTCCTTGTGTTTCCCTGCCATGGCAGTGCCCTGTGGAAGGGGGAGAAGACTGAGTCAGGTGGGTTAAGCCTGCTGCTGGGTGCCTCCTTTCTACCCTGCCCAAGGTTTCTGCCACACTCACCTTTCAGGGACTTCCCATGCTGTGACTGACTGACTACAGTGTGGCAGAGGAGATTGGGAGCAGGAGTTCCTGCCTCCTGTCTCTGCCCCCAGCCTTGGTTTTCCCACCTGTACAATGGGCGCCTATAAGTCAGAATGAAGTGATGTTGACATCTTTGCTTCTTTCCTGTACTTTTTAAAGCAGCCTGGGACCTACTATTGTTTGTGAGTGTACATGTGGGTTTGCATGTCCTGAAGAAACCCTGGAGTTCATTTTGTGGAGTCATTTTTCTCTGCTTTTAAGTGGCCCAGGGGTGGAAATCAGGTCACAAATACCGTTGTGCACTGAGCTTCCTGCACACTTTTCCTGGTCTGGTTTTGAGACAATGTCACCCTAAGACTTGGGTAGAAGTTGCTATTGTCTTCCTTTGGCCTCCTGGGTGCTGGGGTCACAGACATGTGCCATACCACCATGCCATGTTCTGTGGGTCTCTGTGTGTTTGAATCTGAGTGTGCAGCCCAGGCTATCATGGGATTCCGAGATCTGTTTTCCTCTTCTGAGGTTAAAGGTGTAGCCAGCCTGGGTACTTGAGGGCTTTCATGGCGGCTGTGAAGTCTGACCGATGGTGTCTTGGGTGCCCACCCTCAGCCCACTCCCATGGTCCTGCCCTTCGCTTGTGTGGTACCACCTTCAGTTCTCACTTCCTGCCAGTGCTGAGGTCAGGGAGGCACAGTTGCAGGGACTCCTGGAGCCTGGAGCCTGGAGCCTGGAGAGGGATCAGCCCCTGGAGCTTCCCCCAGCCACTCTGGCACTGCTAGAACTGGGTCACTGGCTGGTGGTGTTTAGATTTCTTTAAGCAAATATTTGCGTGGTTGATCCAGCTCTGCTCAGATGGAGCTGAGCCCAGTGGCAGTGATAGGGAAAGGCTGCTGGGTTGAGGCCATTCCCAGCCATGGACAGGAGGGACAGCAGGGTGGTCTGGAGGGCACGCTCACCTGGATGTCTGTGTGAAGGTCTACTGTGTCTCCTATGTGCAGTGAGATGACTGGCTTTGCATCTGGAAGCCTCAAGAGTTTGTTCATTGTTAGTGATGCCTAGGAGTGCTGGGTTGCACATCGGTGGAAAGCTAGGAGTGAGACAGAAGTGGGGGTGGGATAGACACTCATCAAGTAACCATGGTAAAGTGCTTGATGGACAGGGACAGCCAGGCAGGCAGAGAAAACTGTCACCCCATCTCAGAATGGACGGCTAGAAGCTTCCTAAGGACCTTTTAATATTTTTTTTTTTTTGTTTTTGTTTTTTTGTTTTTCGAGGCAGGGTTTCTCTGTGTAGCCCTGGCTGTCCTGGAACTCACTCGGTAGACCAGGCTGGCCTTGAACTCAGAAATCCACCTGTCTCTGCCTCCCAAGTGCTGGGATTAAAGGCGTGTGCCACCACCGCCCGGCGAACCTTTTAATATTTACTCAAGATTGGTTTAGAAGTTAGTCAACCGGGCTGGAGAGATGGTTAAGAGCACTGACTGTTCTTTCAGAGGTCCTGAGTTCAAGTTCCAGCAACAACATGGTGGCTTACAACTATCTGTAATGGGATCTGATGCCTTCTTCTGGTGTGTTTGAAGACAGTGACAATGTACTCACACATAAAATAAATAAATAAATAAATCTTTTAAAAAGAAAGCAGTTAGTCAACTTATGATGAAAAACCCCGGCCAGAAATTACGACATGTACCCTGGGACAAGTGCAAAAGGAGTCTGGCCTGTTGAGAATCTAAGGCTGGTTTCTCTGGGGCACAGCTATGAGGAGGGAGGTGTTCGAGAGTCTGGAAATCATAGGAGGGGTCAAACACAGTAAACACAGTGGACTTTCGTTGTATGTGTCTCACAGCCCTGAGTTATTAGTCTAGCATCTGCCTCTGAGCCTTGCCCCAGCTCCTCACTGGGGCATTCTAGGTGGTGACCCCATCCACCCTTTGCCACACCCAACCCAAGGTTGGAAGGTCTGGAAAGGTTTCAGATGAATGAGTGATACGGATCCAGGTAGGACCCGGCTTAACTCGGCAGAGCCTTGACTCTCGGGAGTGTAGTGTGAACAAGTCGCAGTAATTTGAGAGAGACTTGGGGTGACAGTGTTACTGCCCAGGATGGCTGATCTGGAAGCATCCACGATGAGGATGGGTTGTCAGGAAGACACCCTCTTACACACTGCACCGTCTCCCTTCGCAGCTTCTCGCCGCCGTCACAGGAGCCCCAGAGGATGTCCAGTGGGGTCTTCCCAGTTGAGCAGGTGGCCGCAGGCGACATGGATGACGCAGCAGCACGCTTCTGTGTGCAGAAGCACTCATGGGACGGGCTGCGTAGCATCATCCATGGCAGTCGCAAGTCGTCGGGCCTCATCGTCAGCAAGGCCCCCCATGACTTCCAGTTTGTGCAGAAGCCTGATGAGTCTGGCCCCCACTCTCACCGTCTCTATTACCTGGGTAAGCTTCCCTGCCCTCTTGCCTGCCCTTCACTGGCAGGCCCAGGGCACCAAAAGGTTTCAGAAGCGACCAGCCTGGGCCAGCCAATGTTACTCCACCTCCAAGATCAGCCACACAGACAACAGTTGAGGGCTGGCTAGGTGTCTCTGAGTCTAGAAAATGTTCCCAGCTGGGCCACTTCCCAGGCACCTGGTCCTGGCTGGGCAGGGCTTCCTGGGGAAGCAGGACAGGATGCAGTTCCCTGTGGGAGAGTCACAGGCTGTTCCAGTAGGAGCTCTGTGTGGTGATGTGTTATGACCTGAGATTCTGAGGCTCAAAGATTGGCACCCTCTCTGTGTAGCCTTGCCATGGGCCAGCAGCAGAACATGACTTACCATCCTGCTGCAGGACCCGGATGTGCCTGTTCTCTGTGCAGCTATTGACAGTGTTCCCACTGGGCCGCCAGATGCTTGGATTTGAGTCTCTCTGTAGGCTTGCGTGGTTTCTGCAGTCAGGCCTGCACTTGGCCCTAGCACGCAGGCAGGAAGTGTGCTCAGTGTCAGACACTGCCCTACTAGGCCTAAAGGATAACAAGAGCTAGAAGACAGAATCCCCTGGAAATCAGTTAGGCTTGTTTGTTTGCAAAGAGCGTGACCCTGCTGTTGTCTAGAGGTATGGTCCCTTGCACTGTGGACACTGGGCTGGGTCACTTGTGGGTGGCCAGGATTCCCGGGGGTTGCTGTCACCTACAGTTGAGAAACACTTTTTAGGACATGATTCTGTTCATTCTTCTAAGCCAGTTTTGTTGCTATTGGTCACGTGGCATCGGTCTCTGAGACCAGGCCTGTGCATGTCCAGGCCATGAGCATTTGAATACATGAATAAATGAACATTGTCACCTGCTCACTGGTGGCTGTACATGGATGACAGGAACCAAGATGGACACTGGGTGGCTGTCCTCCCACTGTCCCACTCCCTCTTCAGAGCTGTCCCAGGAGGAAGTCACATGGGTTTTTGCAAAGCACCAAATGATTTGAGATCAGTCTGCTGAGCAGCTGTGTGACAGCTGTGGATCACAGCAGCCATGGTGCATGGTCGTGCTCTCACAGAGGAAAGCAGTACCAGACTCACTCCTGAGACTCTTCACCATAGCTGGGCTGGGAGGACAGGAGGATCTCAGGTCAGACAGTAGCAAGACCTTCCCCACCTGAGGTCCTGGGACCCTACCTCTCAGTGGTGGCCTCGCCCACTTGTTTTGTGGTCTGCCTTTGGTGAATTGGTTTTTTTTTTTTTTTTTTTTTGGTTTTTCGAGACAGGGTTTCTCTGTATAGCCCGGGCTGTCCTGGAACTCACTCTGTAGACCAGGCTGGCCTCGAACTCAGAAATCCGCCTGCCTCTGCCTCCCGAGTGCTGGGATTAAAGGCGTGCGCCACCACCGCCCGGCTGGTGAATTGGTTTTAGCCTGCACCTGCTGAAGGGAAGCTGGCAAGCATGCTGTGTTCCTCCTTGAGTTCCGGGCAGGACTTTCCTGCCTCTTCCAGCTTATGAAGTGTGCAGCATCTGTTTATTGCCATGTCTTCCCCATTTCTGTCTCTCTGGATACATGTCTTACTTCTCTGTCTAAGGTCTCCCTTTATCTCGGTCTACTGTGGATGCTAATGACTGCAGATCTTCTTCCCTGCTTGAGAGCCTTAGTATATTCAGAGCTGCAGAGCTCTGTCTCAACAAGTGCGGTGACTTTTGAATTCAGGCCCCAGGACATAACTGAATCTCTCTGGGGACCTTTCAGCCTCTCAGGACCATGGGAAAGGACAGAGCCCTCTGGGCTCTCAGTCATGAAGCCATCTGGTACAACAAACCTGGGGATGGTTTAAGGAACCAGGACACAAAGCCACTAGCCTCAAGATAAGGCACCTGCGACCCACAGCCTGTGAAAGCATCCCTCTGGCTCTGGGCCCACCTCTGCTGAGTCAGTGCAGCACCTTAGGTCTCTCACAATCAGGGGAAGTTGACCCTCTGGCTCCAGATTCCTGGGAGAAGAAATCTGATTGTCTCAGTCTGGGCAGGGAAGCTCTGTCCTTGGGGTCAGTGCAGGGTGTTAGGGAGTCTTCATGGGAGTGGAGGGCCACAGATGAATATGTAGTCAAGATAGATCCTGAATACATGCAGGGAGTCCAGAACTGTGTAGCCATGGCTAGCTCTGTCCAGCCAACCCCATCAGCTCACTAACCAGGCTGTGCTGGTCTCGGATCACCTCCTGGACCCTCTGAGACTTTATCACAAGTCTTTCTGTCGGGTGTCACTGAGGCTTAGGTGACAGAGTCCCTGGTTGAGGATCTCCTGTTGCTCTGAGAGTATGACTTAACCCTGCCACTCCCAAAGTCCTCTGTGAAGGATGGACTGGATCCTGAGGGGACTTGCTGGCCCTTCATGTCAGCCCATTCTGTGGCCTGTAGTACCTTCTGTCAGGGCAGGGAGGCTTCGGGGCCTGGAGAGACCTTGACTCTTGGCTCCTGACTTGGGTTCAAGATGCATTGAGTACTCCAGTCCGGGGTGCTCCCTGCCAGGCTGGCCAGGGCCACAGTCCAGGGTGACTAAGTGTGGGTGTGGGCCCAGAGCACCTACCATGCCTGAGGCTGGGCAGGTTGACCAGTCAAAGTGGGCAGTGTGTGTGTGTGAGGACAGAGCCCTTTGGTAGGTCAGGCAGCAGAGGCAGAGCAAGGGCTATTAGGATTCAGCTCCACCCTACCCTTGCTGCAGTGCCAGGCATTGTGGGCTGTGCTGCCAGCACTGGAGGCCCATCCAGGAAGGCCCTGGCTTGAGCCATCGGTGAAATTGCTTCTTAGTCAGCCTTGGAGGGGAGCTGGTTTTGATGTCCTTGGCACAGACTTGCTTTGGACTTCCTGTTCAGAAGCCTCGAGGACAGTAGTGTCCCAGAGCACAGGCCACTGATAGGGAACAGCTACCCCACTAGCCCAGTGTAGGCCTTTGGTAGGGACAATTCATGTCTCAGAATGTCTCACTTACTATATTGCTTAATTGTTTGTGTGTGGAGGTAGTACATATGCTGTGGCATGCATATGGAGGTACATATGCTCCGGTATGCATGTGGAGGTACATATGCTCCGGCATGCATGTGGAAGTCAGAGGACAACTTATGGGTGTTATCCCTTATATCATGAGGGTGTTATCTCCTTATATCATGTGGGTCCCAGGGCTCAAATTCAGGTCCTCAGTCCTGGTGGCAGGTGCCTCTACCACTGGGCCCTCTCATTGTGTCACACTCTTGTTTTTTTGTTTTTTTTTTTGTGTGTGTGTGTTTTCAAGACAGTGTTTCTCTGTATAGACCTGGCTGTCCTGAAACTCACTCTGTAGACCAGGCTGGCCTTGGACTCAGAAATCCGCCTGCCTCTGCCTCCCAAGTGCTGAGATTAAAGGCGTGCGCCACCACTGCCCAGCATTGTGTCACACTCTTAAAAGTGTGCTGCCCAATATCACCTGCCTTTCTTTAGTCCAAGCACTCAGGAGAGGCAGGAAGATCTCTCTGAATTCAAGACCAGCCAAGTTTACCTATGAGTTTCAGGCCAGCCTGGGCTACATAATGAGTTCAAGGTCATCCTGGTATACATATCGAGTTTCAGGCCAGCCTAGGCTACATAGCAAGTTCCGGGACACACTGTGACCCTGTCAAAGAAAACCACAATAAAACCAAACAGTCCTGGCAGCTGCAGATATGGAGTAAGGCAGAGTTCATGCATCCTGCCAGTCACTGTAAGAGGCACTGTGTTCCAGGGTTGCCAAGCGTCCTGTGTACTCCCACACAGCTCTGAACTCAGAGGAATGACAGCCCTGCTTCCCAGCATTCTGCACCAGAGAGGCGTAATTGTGGCACGTTGAAGCTGGTCACTCTCTGCTGACCATATAACTGCTAATGACACCATACGCCATGGCCTCTGCTTCCCTACCTTTGGAAGACACACTTGTTACCTGACCTCTTCTCACCTGCTACAAGCCATGGGGCAGCCACATGCTGGGACCTCGACTTCCTCACCTGTGGAAGACATGCTTGTCACCTGCAGTTGGGAAGTGGAGGCTGAAAGAACAAGAAGAATTCAGTGTTTTCCTTGTCCACCTAGAAAGTCAGAGACCAGCCTGGGCTATAGGACACTCTGTCTAGAAAAGCAAAAGAAAGGAGTGACCCAAAGGGGGGTGCACGTGGGCCACCGAGCAAGGAGGCTGGCTTACAGGTTCACAGCCATGCACCCAGCCTCAGAGGTACTGAGGAGTTGGCTACGAGCTTGCTAGCTCTCTGGTAGAGATCCAGCCCAGCTGCATAGACGTGCATGTGTCCTGTTCCCAGTCCATTGCCTACATTCCCTCAGCAACCACTCATGTCCTTCAGTCAGGGCTCAGAGGTGATGCCCACAGGAGCCTCGGGCATGGGGCTTGAGGGTGGAGGTGGAGCTGTCCCTGATCCAGTCTGGAGTGGATGGAGTCAGGGCTGCAGTGTGAGGAAATACTCTAAAAGCACCTATTGTGACTGAGTGTGGGACATGCACGCACACACGTGTACACGCATGAGTGCACACTCCTTCCTCTCCCTAAGGTTTAGCCTTACTCCCATCTGAGACCTCAATCTTTGTCCTCAATCTTTGTCAGTGTCTCTCATACAGAGGAACCTTATAGAGCCACCCCTGACTGCAGGAGGGCTGACTCCCAGAGGCTGCTGCAGCCACTAGGCCCTAAGTCTCAGGGTGGGAGAGCTTACCACAGAAGTGACCAACCAATAGGGCTGCAGTGACAGCTCAGGGGTAAAGTGCAGGCTGTACATAGGTGAGGGCCCACATTCAGATCCCCAGCGTCTGTGTCAGGAAAGATGTAGGTGGATTCCTGTAGGTTCAAGACAGAAAGAGGGAGAGGGAGAGAGAGGGGATACCTGATGGTCTCTAAGTGCACACAGTGATGACACTCTGACTAGAGACAGGGAGCCATGGCCTGATGACCTCTCAGGTAGGGCCCCTACTCGAACCTTGTCTGACTTTTCCCCAGGAATGCCCTATGGCAGCCGTGAGAACTCCCTTCTCTACTCCGAGATCCCCAAGAAAGTACGGAAGGAGGCCTTGCTGCTGCTATCCTGGAAGCAGATGCTGGACCACTTCCAGGTGAGCCATCGGTGCCACAGCTGGCTTCTGGGAACAGAGCTCTGACTGGGGCACTTTCAGGCCTACTTCTCTCTCCTGTTTATACCTTCAAATGAAGGGTGATTCATAGACCTGGCTAATGATTAGTATGACTACCAAGAGTGCTGAGTGAAGGGGACACCCTGGTGTGGCAGTGCTCCCTGGTGTGGCAGTGCTCCCTGGTGTGG